GGGGGGGGTGTAATATTTTATATGTGGGGGGCAGGGAACAGGGGGAAGAGTGTAATATTTTATATGTGGGGGCAGGGAGTTTTATGGTAATATTGTTAATATTTATTTTTGTAACTTATTTAAGAGGGTGTGTTTAGGGGTGGAGTCAAGGCTGGGGCAGGGTAGAGGTTAGGTGGGCAACTGGTGGCGAGTAATTCTTAAGGCCTGGCTAGTAGCTCAGGACTTGAAATTTTGACCCCTGGTGTAAAGTATGCTACATACTCATGACTGCCATACTTTGTGCTGTATGTTACACAGCCATGACCACCATATTCTTTCTGTGTTGCACTATAAACACTATGTTGCTCATTACACTCCTGATCCCTGCATTCTGTACATTACATACCCTTTACCCCTGCACTCTATATACTACATTATATGTTACATGCTCTTGACTAAAGAGTTCATTGTCTCAACAGTTGCTGCTTGCTAAGTAGCCACTACTTTTGGAAGTTCTTCATGAAGGTATGCCCAGACAAAATGTTAGCTCTTTGTATACACTCTATGTGCAGAAACAAATATGTAGTAGAAGAGTTTCCTTTTAAAAAAATTAGATTTTTGTGCTTACATACTTACTTGGAAATCCGTAAGGGACACAGGGATTTAGAGACTGTGGTTATACTGCTAACCTTAAGGCGAAATGGACAATTGCAAACAAAATAAATGTGTGGCCAGCCCAGTATAACCTGTGCAACTCCTGGCAAAGCAGTGCCAAGAGTATAATGATACACGGGAGGGAAGGGACCTATGTCCCTCAATGTTCTAAAAAAAACAAAACAGATTTTATGGCAAAATTCAATTCTTTCTTATTTTTTGAGGGACACAGACATTCAGAGACTGTTGGGATGCCCAAAAGCAGTCTAACTGAGGGGTGATCAACAGCAACAAAACACTAACAGACCAACAAAAAACAAAAGAACTGGGAACCAGCTGTAGGCTGAAGGAGCTTATGCCTGAAGCTGGCATCAGAAGAGGCCCTAACATCCTCCTGGCAAAAGAGAATGTGTGAACAGAAGATCAGGTGGGAAACTTGCAAATGTGGGTAACAGCTTCTTGATGGTAAAATGCCCAAGAAGTGCTTACAGATCTAGTAGAGTTACAGGAAAGTGTGGAACCTGATCCTTATGACCAAAAGCCTTGATGATGGTTTGTCTGAGCCACTGAAAAATGGTGGAAGGAGAAGCAGTTTCCTCTTTGCAGGATGAATGACAGAGAGCAAGTCAGTCTTTCTAATGGAAGCAGTGGCTACCAGGTAGACATGAACAGCAAAACCAACATCCAAGCAATAAAGGGAGATCTCTCTATCTGATGAACTGGTGCTGAACAAAGGGAGAGAAGGACAATGTCCTTGTTGAGGTGAAAGGCACAAACTAATTAGGAAGCAAGTTCTGGCCCTCAAAATCACTTTGCCCATGTGTAAGACCAAAAAAGGGTTCTTTACAATATAAGGATGCCAGCTTAAATACTTGCTTGCTGAGGTGATAGAGACAAACACAACCTTGCGCGTGTGAGTGGAGAGGGGAATATCCCTGATTGGTTCAAAGGGCTGTCTTTGAAGAGACAAGAGATCTCACAGAGTCATGGGGGAACATACAAGGAGAGCCACATGGGAGACAAAAGTCCTGGGAAGCTAGCAGTCTCTGGAACAAAACAGCAAGCACAGAGACCTGACCCTTAAAGGTGCTAGGTGCCCAATTCTAGTCGAGACACTCTGTAAAATGGCTAGAATTCTTCTTTGTCAAGCAAAGTATGCCTTCCATGTGCGATGATAGACCTTGCAGTAGGCAGACTTCATAGCTTTTAGCATCATGGGAATCACTGATTTGAAGATGCCTCTATGTCTCAGAACCTGGGTTTAAACAGCCATGTAATTAAAAACAGTGACTTTAAAATGGAGTGTTAAATTGGTCCTTGAGACAAACGATCCAGATGATCTGGAAGAGCCCAAGGAGTGTGTCTGTCAGGAGTCTGATAAGGTCCAAGTACCACATCCTCCTAGGCCAGTACAGAGCTATAAAGATGATCCTCCAGCCAAGAAACCCTGTGTTGCAGTAACAGCTATAACACCCAGAGTTGCAGAATGCTTATTGGGAGGCGTGAGTCCTCCAATGTTTATGCCCCATGCACAGAGAAAGTTCCTAGACTCCTCCCCAACCCAACAGGCTAGGATCTGTCCTGAGAATCATCCACATGACCTAAAGGAAGGACTCCTCAGACTCCACAGGAGGGTTCCTGAGCAAACAAACCAGGAACAACCTGGTCTTCAGTGCCAGGTGAATAGATCTGTCAAAGGACTGAGTGACTTGTCCTTTGAGGCTTCCTGTTCATGTTCAATTATAACAGGGGATACAGAAAAAGAGACTGAGGACTCTGTGTTCTTAATCTCTTTTTCTATTTTAAAAGGGAAATATCAGGTGTCTGTTTAGACCCTAAATATTTTACCTAAAAGTAAAGCAAAAAATAAAAATATTTTATAAAAATAAATAAAAATATAAAAAAATAAAATTTATAAAAAATAAATAAAAATAATATATTTGAAAAAGTTAGAAAAAAAATATTTTCGGCACAACATTTTTTTAAATTTCGGTTTTGTTTTTAAAATTTTAATTTCGGTGCACCTCTAATGAAAACTATTATCATTATCAATTATTATCGATTAAAAGATTATTTGGTTTCAGTCCCAGGGCTTAGCTTTGAAAATGGCTTGGGAGTAAGAAAATAAACTCTTCTTGACCTCTG